GGAACAAAAAACCGGTTGAGGTAGTGGTTCAAGGGTCAATGGGTCAGATCGGGGTCAAACCGGGATCAAACCGGTCACATTAAAATGATAAAATTTAATTAAAAATAACAAAGTATAGCAATATTAATAATCACTAATAACAAAATGTAAGGAAATACAACAATAATTTGACTGTAATTAAAACAAAATACAATAACATTAAGGATTTTGATCTTTATGATTTCTTAATAACTAAAATTAATAATTATTAATACCAAAATTATTATTAAAATTCATTTAAATATATAGTGATTGAAATATTAGGAGTTGAATAAGAAAAAATAAGATAAATAGCAAAATATCATTCAAACCGGTTCATTACCGGTTTATATCGATTTTTGCCGGTTTGCACCGGTTTATCCCGGTTTGACCGGGTTGATGCCGGTTCATTTTATGACCGGTTCATTGCTTTAACCGGACCGGACCACTGGCCGGTTCACCGGTTCACCGGTTGAACCAGCCGGTTCGGTCCGGTTTTTTTTTCACTGCATAAAAAAGAGGTTGAAAATAGATCTTACTTATTTTTCCGCTATCTATGGGCTTGGGCAATTTGGTTCTCTGCTCCATGGGACTTTTACTCACACTCAATTCTAGCAACTGATGTTGAAGTTTGGTTTATGGACTCTTTATGCAATGCTACGCTTGAGGATAATGTTGGACTCTCTATTATATGTGGTTCTTGAGGAATAAGAAGCCGAAAGAACACTTTGAGTCTCACCCCTCAATGGTGGTTAATAGAATTAAATTAGAAGTCAATTATCAAAAGCATATGCTATCTTTAAGCGAGCCGCGCACTTCACATAATGCAATTATGCCTGCTCCTTCTTCTTATTAATGTTGCAGATTGGTCAATTTATCTGCCCAACTAGAGGATGAAGTGATCCCATGGTAAGAAGTTATTTTCTATTACTTTGTCCTTTCAGGGTTATATTTTCAGGCATTTTTGAGTCCAAGTAAGAAGAAGAGCTGCAAAGTGGTTCACTATTCTCTCCCTGTTTCTTCAAGTACTGTTATTCATCATCAATCAGCCACAAATTCAACCTGCCATTAATTTCAGCCTCATAATCTACTCTCCTGACCACCTGAATTTCCAAAAGATTATCCAAGGTCCTTTAGGCACTGATATAGGCACTAATTTCCTAGTTTCGGACTGTATAGGTTTTTATCTTTCTTTGCTGATGTAAGTTTTAGGTATTAGGTGCTTCTTCCCTTTAGTATGTACTCCTTAAAGATAATATTGTAATCAATAACAGAAAAAAAAGGAAAAGAAAAGTAATTATGATTCAATATTTCTTTGTATATTCTTTAATAATTATTTTAGAAATGAATCATAGGTCTACTTACTAGTTATTCCATTGCTTCTAAATGCACAAGTTAGAGAGGTTTGCATACATATCAAATGCAAAATTTCAGTTAACTTTTTCTTTCAAATTCATAATTTTTTTCAAATCATTTTGAAAAAATTTTAGATAAAATATCCTGAAATTATGATATTTAATTTAAGCACCTAACACTTTAAAATGATAGGAAAAAAAGTAAACATAAATTTAAAATCTAAAATTTACAAAAATACCCTTTGATTTTTTTATAAAAAAAGTTTAGAACTCCTCATTGGAGCCTCACTAGCAATTATTCACCGTTGGAGCTCCAGCACCAACCACTGGCGAGGGGGCTGCCAGTGGGGGCTTTTCCTTTGTAGGAGGATTTTTTTTAAAGGGGGAGGAATTTTTTTGATCCCCAACCTAGTGGTTCCTAATACTATGGGTGAGCCCTAAACCAACATGCTTTATTCACATTATAATGCCAAAAAAAAAATTAACTCATTTACTTTAATTTCAACTAGATGACAACCATTCATCTGAAAATAACAAGTTCTGATTGTAAAAGATAAATCTAAATTTGGGATTAATAACACATATTTTTATACGTAACATGTAAATCAATTAAAAATGACAACAATTTATATAAAAAAAATAAATCCTCATCGTGAAATGATAAGTTTAGATTTGAGGTGAACAACATGTTTTTTTTCTCTAATAGATATATGTAATTTATTATTTACTTTAATTAAAATTGTTCAAATTAAATCTAATATCATATTATATTTTATTATTTTGAAAGTTTGATATATTTTTATTTTTTGTCAGAAAAGTTATATTCCTATTTTTAAAATATGAACATAAAATAAAAATAGTATATTAATATATTTTTTGAGAAAAAGTATATTAATATATTATAGAAAAACAAAATAGATTGTTATGGTGAATTCTTTTCGAGCAAAACTATATTAATATATTTTGGAATTTGGCTACATAAATAATTTTGATATGTATATACCCTGAAAATGCAAGGGCCTTGAGTCCCTTAATCTCTACATAGATATATAAGCACGTAAAACAATATAACCCCCAAAAAAAAAAAGACAAAAGAAAGGCAAAAACAATGGAAATGAAATAAGTATATGAAAAAGTATTTTAATTTATAATGAGTTATATATATATATATAGATTAAAAGGTATTTATAAATTGATTCACATTTTATGTATCCAGAAAAAAACATGTTAACTCTAAATGCAGACTCACCATTTTACAATTAAGACATGGTATTTCTAAATGAATTGTTGCTATTTTTAATTGATTGACATGTTATTTCATATTTTGTATTAAAAAAACGTATTAGATTTTTCATTTCACAATCAGGACATGTTATTCCCTGATGAGTTATTGTCATTTTTAATTGATTCACATGTTATTTCACACATTATGTATAAGGAAAAAACATGTTATTAATTCCAAATTCAGCATTTTACAATTAGGACTTATTATTACTATAGAAATTATTGTCATTTTTAATTGATTCACATGTTATGTATCAAGAAAAAAAGTGTTGTTAATCCCTAATCAGACTTGACATTTCACAATTTAAAATTTGTTATTCCTAGATGAATTGTTGTTACAAGTTGGAGCAAAAATAAAGAGTTAACTTATATATATATATATATATATATGTATATAGCATTATTATGTTAGCAAAGCATGTTGGTTTAGTGGTCACCCTTAAATTTAGGAGTTGCCAGGTTGGAGGATCAAATTCTTTTGCCAAAATCCCACCAACCTCACTTTCCTTTCTCTGTTTTTTTTAAACATCCTACCAAAAAAAAGCCCCACTAGCAGCTACCTTATCAGTGGCCAGTTCTAGAGTTCCAGTGCAGGCAAGCAGCCAACCAACTGTCGGTGGTGGCCAGTCGCCAACAAGGCTCTGATGAGGGGCACCAAACTTTTTTGAGGGGCATTTTTGTAATTTTTTTATAATTTTAAAATTCCAATTTAGTTTACTTTCTTTTCTGTCATTTTGAAGGGTTAGTGCTTAAATTGGAATATCATAATTTCAAGCTTTTTTATTTGAAATTTTTCCCATAATTTTGTTGATTGCATATATTAAATAAAATTTTTCATCAATAAAATAAATTTTAATGCAAATAATTAAAGAAATTGTTTTAACCACGGAACAAAAAGCTAGACCGGTGATTGAACCAATCAAGATACCGGGTTAATAGTTAATGGGTCAGATTAGGGTCAACCTATAATCAAACCGGTAGTAATTCAAATGCTATGTTTTAAATTATATATTAGCTATTTTAACTGAAAATTAAAATAAAGATATGAAGAAAATGTCAAATAATAATAAATACCTAATATTATGCATATAAAATAAATAATTATCTAAAAAATAATTGTGATAATATACATAAAATAAAAGATATATTTATGAAATTATATATAATAAATAATGTGATATGAATACTTATTAGTCAAATCCATCCATTCTTGTAAGATGATTTTGCGTGGGAAACTTGAACCGCATGGGAAACCTAATTTTTTATTCACCTCTTTCAATTTTAAGTCTTCACATTTTTCACGATCTGCTTTTCCATTGGAAAAGTCGCCACTTCACTTTTTTTAATTATTTTCTTTCATTATTCAGTCTTTTCATATCTTGTACAGAATGGGTTGGGTATTCACGTGCTATGGTAGTTTTCTTTCTTATTCTCATTCTTCTCTCTATTTCAATATTTCTTTCTTCTTCATTCATTTAGAGGTTCCCCTCTTCTTTTTTTAGTTTTCACAGCTCCATGCTCCCTTATCTTCATTCAGATGCACTCAAAGAGCCAGAGGGATGAGAATAAATTTTATTTTTATTTACAAAGCGAACTTGTAGAACTAGAGAAATGAAAGAAAACGATCATCTTTCTTTTATTTATGTTTTTCTTCTTCTTCAATCAATGTTTTTTGTTTGTGTGTGAAACAGTCTCATATTCTTTTTTTTTTTTTTTCCAAACAACCCAGCTAAGCCACCTAAACTAGCAGGTTGGCTGGTTGTGACAGTTTACACCGGTTTAATCTAGTTTACTCCGGTTCAATCTTCCTCCAGTTTTGTTGCTAAACCAGACCAAATCACAGGCCAGTTTACCAGTCTAAATTGGCTGTCTGAATCTGATTTTTTGTTCATTAGTTTTAACTTGATTGTAGCTCAGTTGTTAAACTTTAAGTTGATTCAACTTAGTTGTAACTTATTTTTTGAATTTTGACTCCAATGACTTGTAACTTATTTTTTGAATTTTGACTCCAATGACTTTATCTCTATAATTTTGTTCTCTTAAAACTTCAGCTGTTCATAGTTTTGAGTTGGAGATATTAAAAATCAAGAATTAAATTTAGTATTTACAACGAGTCAAAATTATAGAGATTAAAAATTTAATTTTTTTAAAAATAATTTAGAAAAGCAATTAATATTTCGTTTATAAATATCTAATTTAATTAATTTTTTTAATCTTAATCATATATCTCGCGTGACTGTTGGGAGTCTCTGCGTTTCAAGTGAAAACGAACTTGGCCCTTCGTCTGCATGGCACGGTGCTATTTGGAGCCAATAACTCAAATTTTCAGATGATTCAACAACGGATCGATGACTTACATTTCGGGCCAAAATTGGAGACAAATCCGAGAATAGGAGGCCGAAACAAGCAGGAATTTGGAGACCAACATGAGCTTTTCAAATCTGGTCCCCGTTATGGGAAACCCAAAATTTTGTCCGAATTCAATTCCTGGCAATAATGATCACATCCTTCGGACGAACCTCATCTCAATGCTTCAGAAGAGTAAAGACATGAATCATGCCCGATCAATTCATGCCAAAATCATAAGGAAAGGAGTCGAGCAAGATCCTTTCCTCCTATTCGAACTTACTCGATTTTACTGTAAAATCAGTTCCATTGGTTATGCTACCAAGGTCTTTCACCGCACTGAAAACCCCAATGTGTACCTCTACACTGCTCTTATTGATGGTTTGGTTTCCCTTGGATTTCACAGCGATGCTCTTAACTTGTATACTCAAATGGTCAACCAGTTGATTTTGCCTGATGAGTATGCGATCACTTCAGTCTTGAAAGCTTGTGCTCTTTTACTTGCTCTTGGCTATGGCAAAGGAGTTCATTGTCAGGTTCTGAAATCCGGGTTGAGTTTAAACCGATCAATAGCATTGAAGCTTATGGAACTATATGGGAAGTGTGGTAGATTGGAGGATGCTCGGAAGTTGTTCGATAAAATGTCTGAGTGTGATGTTGTTGCATGCACAGTTATGACAACTTGCTATTTTGATCATGGGCTAACTCAAGAGGCGATGGCTTTATTTAGTAAACTAGAATCAAGTGACACGGTCTATTGGACGGCAGTGATAGGTGGGTTGGTAAAGAATGGGGAGTTCAATAGGGGTTTGGAGATATTCAGAGAGATGCTAGCAAAGAATGTGAAGCCTAATGAAGTCACCATTGTTTGTGTTTTATCTGCTTGTATGCAGTTGAGTGCTTTGGAGCTAGGTCGATGGGTACACATGTACATGAGCAAGTGCAATATCAAGATGAATCAATTCATTGGTGGTGCCTTAATCAATATGTATTCAAGGTTTGGTGATATTGATGCAGCGCAGTTATTGTTCAGAGAACTGAACGTGAGAGATCTGACCACTTACAATTCGATGATTGTGGGGTTAGCTATGCATGGAAAGAGCATTGAGGCAATCGAATTGTTTAGGGAGATGATAAAGCGAGGTCTTAAACCAAATAGCATAACCTTTGTTGGAGTCTTGAATGCTTGCAGCCATGGAGGTTTGGTGGAGCTGGGTTATGAGATATTTCAATCAATGGAAACAGAACATGGGATTGAGCCACAATTACAACACTACGGTTGCATAGTTGACTTGCTTGCTAGAGTAGGTAGGCTCGAAGAAGCTTATGATTTCATTGGCAAAATGGGAGTGCATCCTGATAGTAGAATGCTCTGTTCTTTGTTAAGTGCATGTAAAATCCATAGAAATGCCGAGATTGGAGATCGTGTTGCTAAACTATTGAGTGAGTGCAATTTTATTGAGTCTGGATCCTACATAATGCTGTCAAATTTCTATGCTTCATCAGGAAGATGGAATCATGCTGCAAAAGTGAGAAAGAAAATGGAGAAGGAAGGAGTTTTGAAGGAACCAGGTTGTAGTTCCATTGAAGTCAATAGTATTATTCATGAATTCTTCTCAGGAGACCTAAGACACCCTCAAAGGAAAAGAATCTATGAAAAGTTAGAGGAGTTGAACTATTTGACAAGGTTGGAAGGCTATGTACCTGCAACAGAATTGGCTTTACATGATGTTGATGATGATAAGCAAAAAGAGTGGGCTTTGGCTGTGCATAGTGAGAAGCTTGCAATATGTTATGGACTAATTTCAACTGAGCCAGGCACGACATTAAGAGTCATGAAAAATATAAGGATTTGCAATGATTGCCATTCAATGATCAAGCTCATAGCGAAAATTACGAGCAGGAAAATTGTGGTTAGAGATCGCAATAGATTCCACCATTTTGAAAAAGGGGTTTGTTCTTGTAAGGATTATTGGTGAGAAGGAAGGAAACAAAAAATGACACTTCAGTATTCGGATACAATTCAAGCAACCTTGGAACATAGAGGATCATTTTGGTGGCATTTTTATCAAAATGCTAAACATAGTAAAATAATTTACCACCAAGATGCTATACTGCAGAAACTATTTCTCAAATACTATATTGAAACTCGTTCACCGGATAAACGACTTTGAATTTTTGAGAAAGTTGTTCAATAGGAGAAGAGTTTCATGTTTGACAACTTTTTCTTTTTAACAAAATTGAAAATCGTTCTGCACCTGCCACATCTCTATATCTTTGCTTTTTCCTTTTTTATTTCAGCAAAAGTTACAAACGAATGCCCATTCCATCAACTCACATCTTTGTTATTTGTTTATAATTTTTTATGAAATAAAAAAGCCAAAAAGAAGAAGAAGAAGAAGAAGAGGCACATATAAGTGATAGTAGCAGCGTCCGCTAAACTTGATCATGCCCTAAACAACTTTCAATTTTGTTGAAAAAAATTGTCAAATATGAAAGTCGTTCTCTTACTAGATGACTTTCTTGCAAATTCAAACTTGTTCGTCTGATGAACAAGATTTAATATAGCATTTTAGGAAATAGTCTCCATAGTACAATATTTTGATAATTTTATTTTTGATATAATTCAAAATATTTTCAAATTATTTTGGGTATAAGACTAATCTCTGTCGGATAAATACTGTGTAGTATTTTGATAAAGTGCCCAATTTTGGCCAAATAAATGACAAGATATATCATGTGACTTTTGAAAATTATACTTAGTTCTTAATTTATCTCTCTTTTAATTTTTCGTTTAAGTTTGTAATTCACTTCATTGTATATTTCTCCCAAAATAAGTACTATGTAGTTGTGTACAAAAGGAGTGATACGCAGCAAGTTTCACAGAACTAGCTCAAAAAGAGAATAAAATCTTGTGAGAAACCTATTAGGAGCTATATCTTTCAACCTATTAGGAGCAGCCTATTTTAATTTTTGTCAGATATGTAGATAGATTAGCAAACTATGCACGTAATATAACTATCAGGTTTTGTACCTTTGACCATCCACCGTCTTTTCTAAGTGAGATGGTGGGTGGTAGAAGGATTAAAGGTAAGCTTAAGAACTTAGTGTAGGATTGTGAATAACTTTTAAGTTTATTTCTTTTCATTAGAAAAAGAAAACACGCCAGATCATTTGACTTGATAATCATGGGCTATGATCTAATTTTTAATGTCAGTAAACTGGTGCAACATTAAAAATTAGTCTAAGGTAACAACAATGGTTAAAATTAATCAAAGCATAATAGGAGTCAACATTTTTGTCGTTTCATTGTCCTATGAACATTAGAAATGTTGGTATTATTATTTCATTAAAAAAAAAAAGAAATGTTGACACTAATATATTAATCGTGTTATGAACTTAACAATATCTTTGTGGATATCTATATATTTCTCATTCTGTTTAATGTCTTATATTTTTTCATGATTCACAATTATTTCTTATTATTATGTAATATGTAGATTCTACTAAAGTTGTAAAGTTGTTCCTATAAATAGAGCCATGTACCATTTATTTAATATCTTAAATGGAATGAGAAAAATTCCTATTTTCCATTTTCTCTAATTCTATTCTCTTCTTCTCTACTCTTTCTTTAGTTTTATAACACATTATAAGCATGATGCTTTAGCCAAGATATATACCATTGATCCTTAATATAACTTTAGAGCATCATCTATATAATTTTTCTAGAGTATCATTTGCTCTATTCAAATGAAAATATATTGAGCATTGTATATATGATGTTTCAAAGTCTTTATATCTGTAATCAATCTTGTAGGGTAATCTGAGCCATTAGATGGATTCAAAAAGATCTTTTACCATTGTTTTATACATCGGGTCCCATGGTCAAGATTAGAGATTTTGCTTCACATTTTAGCATTACAGTTTAATTTTGATATGGATGTTATACCTTTTGAGCTAATTGTGATGGGATGAATTTTTTTTCTTCTATTCCTCACTAACCTAATGTTACTATTTCGATAGAACCTAAAGTTCCAATTGATATTTGCAATCTCCCTAAAGGGTTGCCTTCTAAAATTAAATGGCCAGAAGCCATATAACTATGATTTTCCATCTTCTTGATATTAAATGACCAGAAGCCATATAACTCTGATTTTTCATCTTTTTTAGATTAAATAGCTAGAAGCTATATAGTTTTGATTTTCTATATTATGTTTAGAAGCCATATAACTTTGATTTTCTATCTTAGGGCCAAAAGTCATATATATATATGTTTGATTTTCTATTATATTAAATGGCTTGAAGCTATATATATTTGATTTTTTATCTTATTAAATAAACAAGAGTCATATAGATATGATTTTCTATCTTATAGCCAGAAGCTATTTATACTTGACTTTTCTTTATTTTATTAAATGACTAGAAGTTGTATAACTTTGATTTTTTATCTTTTGACCAGAAGCCATATATATTTGATTTTTATTTATTTTACTAAATGGCTAGAAGCCATATAACTTTGATTTTTTAATTTATGACTAGAAGTCATGTATATTTGATTTTTTATTTTGATAATGTAACTTTGACTTTCTATTTTATAGCCAGAAGCCATATATTTTTTTATTTTTTTTATTTTATTAAATGGCTAGAAACCATAGAGTTTTGATTCTGAGAAGAATCATTATATGATTTGTTTATAAAAAAATTATGATAATTAGAATCTTTCTTCAAGACTAAAAATAATGTAGCTCAGAAGGCTAATAGCTCAAATATATTTTATTATGAGAAACTATTGACTATATAGTGAACGATGGATTGGTATGTTTGTTGATGAGATCCTTGTCCATTACATGAAGTAATTAGCTAATAGCTACATTAGTTCCATATAACTCCAATTTATTGAGAGGAAACATGACTTTACAATAGAGATTCATATTGGCATACGAGGTACAAGAGTTTATCTTTTTTTCTTTATTTCATGTTATATTTAAATTTTACATTGTATTAATTTAAAGTTTAATTTTTATTCTTATCTTATTCTTATATATTCTTGACATTCAATATATCTATTAATATTATAATTTCATATTATTAAATGACCAACAACCATTATACTCATATTATTGAATGATATGAAAAAAAAAACAACTCGTGACACTTTGATGGCTTGATTACAAATATTAAAATCCTGAAAGCTTATGGTTCAAATATTGAATAACACAAATAATTTTTGAAAAATATATTTACTATACAGAGTCCTGAAGACTAATGACTTATCAATATTAAAGCCCTGAAGGCTTATGATTCAAATCTTTGTAACTATGTAATTTGATTTTAGTCCTTATAGATATCTTCAAATTTCTGTTGAATTTATAAATTTATGAATAAATTTTGAAGTGTTATAGAATATATACAAAGGAGTAATGTTTTTGAATAATAAAATATTGAGAAAATATGCATGTTGTAAAAATAAATAAATACTTTATATTTTGAAAAAAACATAATAAAAAAGTGAAAATATCATATAGTGAAATAACAATATATATGATAGTTCCTGAAGAACTATATATGGCATTTTTTGAAGAAATATAAGTAAAAAAGTGATATAGTTCTAGAAGAACTAATAACAAAAAAAATATGTAGTTCATAAAAAATTGGTAACAAAATCGATATAGTTATTAAACAATTAATATAGTTTTCCCATTTTTGTAGGCAGAAAAGGAATCAATAATGAAAATTATGATCTATAGACATATATATTAGAACTTTGTCCATCAAAGAATCTTAAGGTGATAGCTTAATTGGATTGAAATTTATGATTATATCTAAATAAGAAAGCACTTAGATTTTCAAGTTAAAGATATGTTATCAACTTATTATATGCAATTCACCCTATTTAAAATACATAAATAAGAAAAGTTTGTTTACATGACTTACACTTTGGGGAGAGATTATTAGAATACAAGTGTAAATCATATTGGATGGAATTTGTTATCATTAATGTTTCTACCATCCATTGTATCTCATATTCCCTTTAAAAAAATACTCCAGAAGAGTTAGTGGTGTTTGACCCTTCGTGAGTACATAATATGAAAAATAAATATCTAGAAAAGCTATATCATGGTTTATCATCGAAAATATAAAATCTATAATTGATAACATATTCTTTATGAATTATTAAGGTAAAAAATAAATAATATGACATGGTAACCATAAATTTACCAATAATTGATAATAATATTACAATTGAGTGAAAGATGAGAATATAAGGCTTTATAAGAGCTATATTATGTTTTATTATCCCTATTGATGTTAGAGAATAATATTATAATGTGCGAGTTACTTCTATTGGGTGAAAGATAAGAATATATGGCTCTAAAAGAGTTATATCATGATTTATCATCTCCATTGATAAGTAGAAATTTATCAATGTTTGAGAATAATATTGCAATAAACTTGAAGTCCATATGCTTATTGTTTGAATGATCAGTTAGATCATCTCAGATTATAATGATGCAAAATATCATGAAAAATATGTATTAATCTTTATTAAAAAAATCAAAAGATTTTTTTGTAAATGATACATGATTTAAGAAGTTTTATGTGCTATTTGTTCTAAAAAAATAACAAAAAAAGAGAATATCACTAGCTATGCTTAAAATCGGATTCATGTAGATTTATAAGATATCAGTTTTATAAATGTGAGCCCATTTAGACACCATGTGAACCAAAATAATACATTATAAATTAAAGATGCATTTATATAATGGTTATATAGATGTCTATGATTAATTAGTAGCCTAAAATTTGCAAATATGTTTAAATAATTACGTTGAATGAATAAGTCTCAGATTATGCAATTCTATGATTTTCGTTGAGATTGTTAGTGATTGTTTTTCAAGTTGTTAATGATTATACACTTAGCAAAAACCTCTATAAGTAACTAGATCAAAGCTTATGAGAATAAAATTCTCGTCTTCGTGTTGGAATAATTGATTTGATATATTTTTATACATAAATGCATCAAGCCAATAATGTATTGTGAATTCTCCTATCATAATTGGCTTTTAGTCATGAGCAAGATATTTTTCATCTTAGAATGTATTATATCTATTATTCTATGATAATAATGTACATTGATGGATATTAAAAATAAGTTAGAATTAATGTTAGATAAAAACCTTCTTAT